GCGAATGCCTCCAGAAAGGAAGGCTAAGCAACTGTTTCTTGCAAATCCGACCGGCAGAAGGCCCAGGGGATGGCCAAGATTAACCTGGTGCAAATATATGGAAGGAATCTGTTCCAGACTCCAGTTGTCTTTTGCCAAAACTCATACTCTGGCAGAGAATCGAGAGGGTTGGAAGGGCGTCTGCCTTTTCGACCCGAGTGAAGAAGTGGCCATGTTAAATGGGTGAACGAAGGAGTGTACTTCAAGGAATCTTGCCATCAGTTTTACATGAAATTTTTTGAATTTTAGTGAATATCTTACTTTACTTTGTATCTATGTGAGTTAAGTGAAAACTGGGAAGTGCGCTATCATTGTTGTTTCGGAGCAAGATCTTCAAGGTTTTGCATCTCAAAAGAGCGAACCACTGGCAGTTTACCAGCGTAGTGTATGCATTTTTATCTGTACAGTAGCAGTAGATATTGATTGCGGTTTAATATTCTAAAAAGGCTCATTAAATCGAACTATTAATTGCGAAATTAGTCTCTATAAAACGTGGGAATTCAACAGGTTTATTATCATGCATTTTGATAGAATCAGGGAGCCATGTTGAACGAACTGCGAAGTCTTTTCTGAGTAGTTCATTTTGTTCGATATTTGCCATGAAAATCTTCATATTTCTCTATATGGATTGCATATTAACTGCAGTATTGGTATCGCATTTTCATTATATATGGGTTTAAGTTGACTTCAACACTTAGGAATCAACACAAACTTATGGATTAACATTTCGAATTGCAGAATGTCTCTCGAGAGCAGAAAAAAGCAAATTAGAAGCACTTCACCGACGCTACGAGGAACTGTGCACGTTTCTTTTCAGCAGCTGGAGTTCGTTTTGCCTGTCGATTCGGCATCGAATGATAAAGCATGCTGAAGACTTGCGAAATGCTGCCTTGAAGAGATTTCTTAAAGCAACAATCTGCATCAGCCGGCAACGTCCCTATGCAGGGGTGTTAGTAATTGACAATAGTCTTTTCGCAAAGCGTAGCAGCCATATGCAAGGCAATGTTA